GCTGCTGGAGCAGGGGTGTTGGATGCGATGATCTCTAGAGGTCCCTCCCAACCCAACCACCCCATAACTCTGTGATCCTCCCAAAGCATCGTACCCAAAATTTGACGAGGAAGAAGGAGTTCTGGGGGCCACGCTCATAGAGCTCCTTGAGACCCCCTTTCTTCTCGGGGAACTTGTCGTAGATCTGGCGGATGTCCACGGCCTCCAGCAGCGGGTCGCTGTACGAGGGGTTGGTCTGGCCGATGTGCACGAAGAGGTGTTTGCTGTACTGTAAGCACCGGGAGGGGGGGGATAAAAAACCAGCGAGGTCAGATGAAAGCCAGGGGGCACCGAGGGCAGGGCTGGGCAGCGGTGGGGACAGCGAGGGGACCGTTACCGTCTCGGCGTCCCGAGGCACCTCCATGAAGGCGGAGTACTCGAGGAGCCGCAGCTTGGCGGAGGCGATGGTGCGGTCCTGCCAGACGGGCACGGCCGAGGCGGCTGGTGGGAGCGGAGCCAGGGGCTCGTAACCTGGGGGGGACTCACACTTCATGACCAGCCTTGGGCGGGGGTGAGCACACCATGACCAGCCATGAGCTGGGGCGAGCCCTCATCCACCCCCGTCCTCGCTGCACCCTCCCGCGTCTCCCAGCAAAATGTGCCAGGTGCTACTCCTGCTCCAGGGTGTGAGGGGACTAGGGGAGGTGACCACGGCTGGGAGCTGCAGCATCCCGCTTGGCACGGGGCTATTTGTGGAGTTTAAACCCTGTTTTTTCACCCAGCGGGGCTGGGGAGGGGACTGAAGGTGGGTGGGAGGGTGGCACAGGACAGGGGACAAACAGGACCTGGCAGGTTTCACTTACTGGCTAGTGATGGAGGCATGGGTGGCTGGATGGGGTAAGCTGGTTGTGCAAACGGTTTAATGCTGGAAAGCAAAGGGTATCGTTAGGTTAACGAAGCCCAGGTCACCCCAGCCCCTCGCCATGGGGGGGTCCTGCCTGGCACGGGGCAGTGGAGGGGTCTCGTACTTACTCCTGAGAGGGTCCAGGCTGTCCTGGGATAGGCCCACTCCAAAACTGGGGGAGCAGCACAATGAAGAGTTAGTGGCTTCTGCCCCCCGCTAAAATCCCCTTCTCACCCACCGCAAACTGCAGGGACCTCCCAAGTGCCCCCCTTGAATTACCCTCAGGGCTAAGGGTGGCCATCGAGCATCATCATTTGGACTAGAAGACCTTTAAAGGTCCCTTGCAAGCTAAAGCACTCTATGATTCTACAGTCCCCCTGTCCCCTGTGCAGCAGTGATCCTGCATCCCCCCACCCCAGGGTGCCCCCGCTGGGGGTAAGGGGGTGTCCTCACCCTGGGGGCAGCAGAGAAGACGGCCTGAGGAAGAGGAGGAGGGGGGCTGAGCTTGTTCTGGAGGACGCTGGCTGACACGATCTGCGCGGAGGACATGGAAGCCATGCTCTGCAGAGCCTTATCCTTTGAGACCTGGTCCTGGGGGGGACAGCAGAGAGACAGGGGTTACAGGGGCACCCTGAGACCCCCCCGGTCCAAGTGTGCCCAGCAGGTTTTGCAAACTCAGAGCTAGTCGTGCCCCCCAGCCAAGGGACCAGAGCAGGTGGATTTCCCCCCACCCGGAAATGCACTCATGAAAATGAATGCTTTCATCTCACAAATGTCCCCAAGGCTGGGTCTGGAAGGTGTCCCCACTCCCCAGGGACATGAAGGGTTTAACCCCCCCACACCCCCCTGCAGGAGGGGGAGAAGGGCAGAGGGGAACAAAAGGCATCACAAAGTCAAGCCCAACTTACCAAGTTCATGGCCTGTATGCAAAAGAAAGAAAAAACCAAAGGTTAGAGCATTGTGGGAGCCCGTGGGCACTGTGTGCACCCCTCTGAGCTGTGTACCCCCCGCCCTGGCTCGTCACCACAGCCTGATTTGGGGAGAGAACCCCTTGACCTGGCTGCAAACCAGGGGATGCACAGTGGGCACCGCTGCCCAGGCTCAATCCCGCCAGGAAGGGGATGCCAAAGCCCCCCACTATTTTCGGGGTTGCCGTGGCGAGCCAGACCTGCACCTTGTTGGCCTTTTAATACCCTTTACAGCCTTTGATATCCCTGACAACCTCCTCAGCAGCTCCCAGTGCTTCCAACCAGGGCACAACAAGGAAAAGCCACCCAGCTTGTGGCTGGCAAAGGGCACCTTGCACCCGGCTGCAGTGGGATGTAGGCACCAACTGCCCTACAGGCACCCTGGACACCCCCCTGTGCCCTGTGTGCATTGATATATCTATATCTATATCTATATGCACATACACAGGAGACCAATTCTTTTCCCTTCTCCTCTTCACTCTGGAGGTCTCAGCAGCACTGGGCAGGAGTGGGGGGCTCTGAGGTCTTGCCCTCAGGACCAGGCTGCTCCCCCGGACTCACTGCGGTGACACGGCTGTGCTAGTCCCACCACAGCCCTCCTCTGTCCTCCCTCTGAACCTTCCTCATTGTGCTCCTCCCCCAGAAAGGATCCAGACTGATCCAGGACAGCTCAATCAGTTCCTTTCTTTTCCCCCGTGGCAGGGCAGGAGCGTGGGCACAGAGCCACCCACCGGGCAGCACCAACACGCACGTGACTGCAGCTTTAAAATACAGATGTGTCTGCTGCTCACAGAAGGGAGCTTCCATTCGACAGGACAAGGATCAACCCTGGCTGTTCCCTGCCAGGTTCTTGCAGGAGGCATGGCCAGGGGTGGAGAACACAACCATGGACACCAGGCTTCACACCCAGACCCTGGGGTCACTCCTGCCTCTGCCTCCCCTCGCCCTGCAGCCTGCAGCAAGGAAAGCTCAATGTCATATTGTGTCCTCTTCTCTTCTCTTCTCTTCTCTTCTCTTCTCTTCTCTTCTCTTCATTCCACTTTTCTATTCTGTTCTACTTTTCTACTCTATCCTACTACTCTACTCTACTCTTCTTTTCTAGTCTTTTCTAATCTTCTTTTCCACTCTCTTTTCTTCGACTCCTCTCCTCTTCTACTCTTCATTTCCTATTCCTATTGTATTTTTTTTCTTGGTGCAAAGGCTTCTGCTGTTGCTGCCCCTGCTGCTCCCCCCTTGCCCCTCTCCCCTCTTGATGTTAGCAGCTGGGTTTATGTATGAGCACAGAGGAACCTCCCAAAATAGCTTCAGATGCCCCCTCCTGGCTTCTCCCAGCAGAACAAACTTGTCAGGGTGTGGGCACCCTCCTGGCACCCTGCTCAGGGTTCACCAGGGCGCTTTGGAGGGCATGGCTTGGTGAGCTCCTGGGCAGCATGAGCTGGAGCTCCTTAAAGCTTTGGGGATCAAAATGCCAGTGCCAGCTCTGATGGTGGCACCTCCTGCCAGCCTTGGTGCCAGAGGCTAGGACACAGCCCCCAGGACAGGGGGACAGGGACACAGGGAGCTGATGATGCTTTTGGAACCTTGATGTCATGGAAAGGGGCTGAAAGGTTTTCTGGACACCCACAGCCTCAGCAAGGCAGCAGGTCCCCCCTGGGTCATAGAATCATGGATGGGTTTTGATTGGAAGGAATCTTTAAAGCTCCAACCCCCTGCCCTGAGCAGGGACATCCCCAGCTAGAGCAGGGTGCTCAGAG